TTATTGTACCCTACAAATTCTACCTCTTTTTAAATCAATTGAGTACAGGGCTCCTCTGGAAAAACTTAACTGCTGGCAAAAGTATGTTAACTTACTTTTAAAAATATAATGAACTATGGTGCGATGGATCAGTGGGCAATAGCTGCCCAAACATGATGACCTGAGTTCAAACCTTCAAAAGCCAGGTGTGTGGTGAGCATCTGTAATCCAGGCCTTCCTATGGTGAGGTGAGAGGTGTAAACTGGAGGAACAGCCTGAAGTTCACCTGCCAACTGGAGCACGCAGGGCAGCTGCAGCAATAAGAAAGACCCCACCTCAACTCCAGAGAATGAGAGATCTGATTCTTGAAAGTCGTCCTCTGACCTGCACATGCACACTGATGCATATGTGTACCCAACAATCACATATGTACACATACAAAAATAAATAGATAATATTTTTCAAATATTTTATTTATTACTTTTATTTTATGTGTATGTGTGTATTGCCTACATGTAGGTAAGTGCACCGATGCCGTGCAGTGCCCGCGTAAGACAGAAGGGACTGTTGGATTCCCTGGAACTGGAGTTATGGACAGTTGTTAGCTGCCACATGGGTGCTGAGATTGAACCCAGGTCTTCTGCAAGAACAGTGTTCTTTACTGCTGCGCTATCTCTCCAGCCCAATAATAAATATTTTTAAATGCTATGAACTATATAAGGTATATAAAAATACGTATTAATTGCAGAAATACTTTGATAAGAGAGTAAGAATCATTTGCACTGATAAGTTTTTTTAAAATTCAGCTTTATTAAAAAAATTCTTTTTAATTACATAGGGGAAAGGTATGTGCACGTGAGTTCAGTAGCCCATGGAGTTCAGAAAAGAGTGTTAGATCCCCTAGAATTGGAGTTACAGATAGTTGTGAACTGCCCAGGGTGAGTGCTGGGAACTGAGCAGCACATACCCTTAACTGCTGAGCCATCTCTCCAGACCCCCACCCCACTCCAAATTCAGCTCTTATAAAGCAATTTTTTTGTTTTCTGTTTTTGAGACACGGTCTTGCTCTGTACCCCAGGCTGGCCTTACTATGTAGCCCAGGCCAACCTTGAACTCTCCTGCCTCAGGCTCTTGAGTACTGGGATTATAGGCATGAGCCACCATGCCCAGCACAATGTTGTTGTTGTTTTTTATAAAGTGTTGATGTTTTTAAATCTGTATTACATGTCTGTATGTAAGGGTACCTGTGTCATGCAATGCCCACAGATGTCAGAAGAGGGCATCAGATCCCCTGGAACTGGAGTCATGGACAGTTGTTAGCCACTATGTGGGTGCTGGGAACCAAGCCTGGTCCTCCACAAGAGCAGCCAGTGCTCTTAGCCTCTGAGCCATCTCTCCAACCCCACAAACAACGTTTTGGAATTAAAAATCAGTAATAGTTTAGTACTTTTAAAAGATGTAGAATACTTGCCTATCATGTGCAAGGCCCTGGGTACGACCTCCAGTACTATAAAATAAACAAAATCAGATCAAATCACCTAAAGCAAAAGCCAGCAAGCATCATTTGAAAGAGATCAAAGAGTCAATGATATAGATTTTATTTGTGACTCTGGTCTCAATGACAGATGTCCAAATCTGCCGTTGTCAGCCACAGATACTTTGTAAACAAGTGGCTGTAATCTAGCAAAACTTTGTTCATGAACACAAAGATTGCAGTTTTTCACATTGCAAAATATTCTCTCTTTTCTGGTTGTTTATTGAGACAGGCTCTCCCTGTAGCCCCAACTGGTTTGTAACTCTCTATGTAGACCAGGCTGGCCTTGATTTCACAGAGATCCTTCTGCCCCTGCCAAGTACTTGGTTCTCTTTGAAGCGCCTCCCTTCCTCCCTGAATCACATATCAGGGATAACCATCTTTTAGAACTGAGAGAGGAGGCTACTAAAATGTATTGACTATAGGACTTCTCTTGACTAAAGAGTCATCTGTCATGAAGGTCAGATGGTTCACAACCGACTGTAACTCCAGCTCCAGGAGATCCACTGCCCTCTTTCTTCTCAAGCACCCACATGCACATAACCAGAGAGAGAGAGAGAGAGAGAGAGAGAGAGAGAGAGAGAGAGAGAGAGAGAGAGAGAAAGAGAGAGAGAAATGAGGGAGACAGAGAATTAAAAATAAATCTTTTTGAAAAGTGTGGCGAGAAGTCGGCATGGTGGCGCACACCTGTAGTCCCAGCACTTGGGATGCAGAAGTAGGCCAATCTCTGCGAGTTCAAGGCCAGCCTGGTCTACATAGTGAGTTCCAGGACAGCTGGGGCTACAGGGAGACCCTGTCTCAAAAAAACCAAAAAAAAAAGCAACAACAAAAAAAATCTTTTAATTAAGCTTTAAAAGCTGAGTGGAATGTAAGTTTGCATATGCTTCTAAACTATAATCGACTTTTATAGATTCTGAAAGCACTCATAAAATTTTTCCTTGCTAAAGACAAATAAGCAAATGGCAAATAAACTAGAAACCAGTGACTCCTCAGAAACACTGCGTTGGAGTGTGGCCTCTGAAGTTGGACTGCAGACCCCCCCCAACCCCCGCCCCCGGCCTCTGAGCGGTGGTGTGGCCCTCCCTCTCAGCTTCATTCTTCTTCTTTTTTTTTTAAAGACAGAGTCTCCCTGGAACTCACTATGTAGACCAGGCTGGCCTCCATCTCAGAGATCCACCTGCCTCTGCCTCTGCCTCTGCCTCCTGATTGCTGGGATTAAAGGCATGCACCAGCATGCCCAGAAGCTTCCTTATTCTTACAAAAGGGAGGAAATATTATTTACCTCACCAGACTGTAATAAGAATACCAGTTGATTTATGGCCTGGAGAGTTGACTCAGCTTCTTTGGTTAAGAGCACTGGCTGCTCTTGCAGAGGATCCGGGTTTGATTCCAGGACCCATATGGCAATGAACCCATATGGTAACTCTAATTCCAGGGGATCTGATGCCCTCTTCTCACCTTATCGGGCATCGCATGGCACAGATGCACCTACCTATATGCAGGCAATACACTCATACACATAAAATAGAAATAATACATAAAATATTGTTTGTAAAAAGAATACCAGTTAATTTATATAAATTATTTGAAACAGTGGCTGTCCAAATACACATGATTTCTTTACATAATCGACCCTCTGTATCCATGGGTTTTGCACCCACAAATTCAGCCAACCACTGATAGAAAATATTAATCAAGCAAAAATTTATAAACATGCAAACTTCTTTCTCATCATTTCCTAAACAATGTAGTGTATTAACTATTTGCATGACTTTGACATTATATTACATACCGTGAACAATCTAGAGGCAGTTTATAGTATGTGTGCCTGGGTTTGTGGAAATATTTTACCATCATTGGATGTTGACATCTAATAGAGGGGTTTACTGGAAACAATCCCCTATGGGTGGGGAGGGAGAGCTGTATGAATCTAAATACACTGGAGTCATAGAAGTAGAAAGTAGATTGGTGAACTCTAGGCACTAATGTTGGTGAGATGCTCAAATGGTACAAAATTTCAGTTAGACAAAGGAAAAAGTTCAAGGGACCCATTATATAACATGATGGCTGGAAATAACAACTATTTATTTACTTGTTTGTTTATTTATCTGTCATTCCTTTATTTATTCATTTATTTATTTATTTATTTGAGACAGGGGCTCCCTGTAGCCCCAGCTGGCCTGGAACTCACTATGTAGACCAGGCTGGCCTCAATCAAGATCAAGTGCTGTGATGAAAGGCATGCACAACCACTCCTGGTTGTTTTATAGTCTTAAAAATTGACAAGAAGGTAGATCTTAGATCTGACACACACCTTTAATCCCAGCACTTGGGAGGCAGAATCAGGTGGATCTCTTTTAGTTCAAGGCTAACCTGGTCTGCCTAGTGAGTTCCAGGCCAACTGGAGCTACACAGTAAGATCCTATCTTAAAACCCTCCCCCCCAAAATAAAGTATTCTCACTGCAAAAAATATTGAGTATGTGAAGTGATTTATATTTTACCTAGTTCAACTTAACCATTCTACAATGTACATGTGATATGGATGTGATATATATATGTGTGTGTGTGTGTGTGTGTTATGTATAAAAATACACATATAATTCTTTATTTGCCAATTAAAAGCAAAGCAGTGTAACAACAAAACTGTGTCTGGCTTTTAGTAAGTACTCAAATAACGTTATCCCTTCCTCTCGGTGCTGCTGCATGACGAGTACATGTGAACCTTGGGTTCAATCCCTACTGCCAAAAAATACAAAACAGCCACAAAAAGATTTTCAAGAAGAGACCATGACTTTGGGAGGGAAATGTAGCAACTAATGATATGAAATTTTCCCCCTTTTCTTTTCTAGTTCCAAGTTCAGCAGTAAGATTAGATATGTGAGCAGCTTATCCGAGCTCAGTGGTCTGATCCCGATGGACTGCATCCACATTCCAGAGAGCATCGTTAAGTAAGTCTGCTGGCTTTTGGGGGTGGGCGGGGGTGGTAAATAGCACACCCTAGAGAAGGGGCTGAAGAAGGGCTCACTTCTAGAATAACATGAAATGACATCTCATTTTTAAAGGTAGCACTAAATATTGTCCAACAAATAAAACTTTTCCTATACCCTGACGACAGCTGTTCCTTCAGATTACCCGTCATGCAGTCCTCTCCTGTAATTATTAATTATTGATATTTTTACTTTAAATTTTGTCTCAACTTTGCAGACAATATAAATTGTCTGCACATTTAAACTTGTGACTCCCTATTCTGCCCCAATACATTAAAATTTTAGCATAGTTGGGTATTTTGATTTTCATAATTTGGCGGCCTGATCCCAGAAAATAGATTTAAAAGAATAACTATTATCTTCTAGTCCCCAACCCCACCTTTTCCCCCATAATTCCCTTCAGCTGCAAGGTTAGGTGGAGAAAGTTTGCCTTGGGGTGGGTGGGTATGAGAAATGGTTTCGTTGCTCAGGACAGAGCAAGGAGACAGCCCTGTGGGTAGAAAGCCTATGTGCTGTAGGTGTCAGGGTTGTGTCTGAAAATGAAAGTAAAGTTAAATCAAAGTATTTGGAAATAGAGTACTAAAACAGAGATATTAGAAAACCAACACTCCTATCTGGTATATTGTTGCAAATTTTCTGTGCGTCCTGTTTTTTGTTTTCTTGTTTTCTCAACACATCTGATTAACCAGCCTGCTTCATTTGGACTTGAAAGGGACTTGATCATCAGCTCAAAGAAAAAAGACAAATATTCTGTATCTTCCTGCATAAAATAGACAGGAAAATGGACTTCCAATTAGCACATCCAAAAGAATCTCACTTAAAAGCACTCACTCGAGAGAAGCTGAAAGTGTTCTTGTTTAGTGTGTGTCTGTGACGTCAGGACATGCAGAAGAGCTGTCTCTGTAAGTCATTTATCTCTCATAGCAAACCCCACATTACAGATGCAAGGGGGGTAACTCAGAGATTACTTATGGGAAGAAAGAGTAGGAACCAGGAAGGGATGGAACTAGAATATCAGTTCAACAAGTAGAAGCCTTTGATCTTCCACCAAGTTAGACATGAACACAGGAAATTGGTGGACTTGCTGGAGTCAGCTGGCTCAGCAGAGACAAGCAGTATTTATAAGATCCTAACTAGGGCTTCAGTCCTCATTCCTTTCATAGGGTTCCAACAAGCAGTAAACCTCCAGCTCTGGCCTGCACTCTGTAAGGTGCACCCCGTCTCTAAAACCCACTCCTCTGTTAAAAATCATGCTTCTGGTATGGGGAAGTGGGGGTCTGTGAGAGCAGAGTAGCTGTTGGGGGGTGGAAGGTGGGGAGTAGTGTGCCTAGGGTCCTGGAAAATTAACAGCCACCAAAGTCACCCCAGGTCAGTGGCTTTCGGATGCTTGTCTCAGGAACTTGAAGAAGGAATTTCACAGACAATGGGGAGGGTGAGTTTTAGAAAGGAGTTTATTATAGATTCATAGGTGACAGCTTGAGACCAGAAGCAAGCAGAGCTCTTGTACAATGAGAGCAGGTCCCAAGGAAAGGTTGCCACCACGTGTCTCTGTGCAGGAGTTAATAAGGCTTTTCTGGGTTGAGGCATGGGGGGAGAATCACAGTCCACCCATCTCACCCCAGCTTCACTCAGAGCATCTCATGTAGCTTCCAGGCAGTTGTGCTCCTTGTGTAAAAGAAGAAAATTAACAAGAAACCCAACCAGGACCAGAGCTCTTAACACTCCTGGCGTTCCTACCCTCCAGGCAGAGCCCCCAGCACTCCTGGTGTTCCTACCTCCAGCCAGGACAGAACCCAAGACACTTCTCACTTCTGGTCAAAAACAAAAATCAGAACTTCTGTGTCCAAGGACTCTGTCCCTCAACTACTTGTCCACTTTCTATTTCCTGACATCATTCTTGGCCAACCACTCCTAAACTGCTCCTGTCTCTGGAAAAGATGACATAGGACATTCTCTCTTTCTGTGGGAATAAGCCCTGGCCACTTTCCAGGAAAACACAGCACTGTTTCTGTGGTGTGAGAGACAACGGCATGAAAAAGAGGGTTTGAGGCCGTTACATGTGAACCTTTCCTCCTACTTCTCAATGTCTCTGAAACTTAAGGTAACCTATGAAAATTCTGAGGCTTAGCTTTCACATCTGTAAAATGGGGCATAGGATTGTTCTGAAGATTGAATGAGAACAGAGACCATAAGGCATTTTTGAAGCCTGGACACAGAGCTCCCAGTCTACAATGTTACTGATTATGATCATGTTGTTTTAGAAACTTGTGGAAGTTCATTGAGAAGCTAGAATGGTCAGGGCACTTTTCATTTGATTACACATATCTGTTCTCAAGGCCTCCATTTTAGAAAAGTTACTTCAAGAGGAAGAGGCAGTTGGAAAGATTGGTGCCTCCCCTCCAACACCTTGGCCCCTGCCCGTGTCCGTTTTCTCCTGTCTTTATAATCATCTTAGGATGTCCTTTCTACCATTTCCATTCCTAGCCTTCATCACCTCATTTTCACATTAAGCACTTTTCAACTATGTTCTGTTACTGAATAACTATTTTCTATTACAAATAACATTCAAAACCTCTCATCCCAGCCAATCCAAGACCAGAATTCAGCTGAGCAGAGCCTGTCATCAATGGGCTTGAATGATAGAAAAACTGCCCAGCCTGGAATCAGATTTATCATCACAGTTACAGTTCATTCTCATTATTTGGGGACAGTTGTGCTGAATAAAGTCACTGTAAACACTTAACGAGCTCTGAACTACTATTCCTAGGGAAAATCTACAGCTGGGATCCTGTAAGCCTCTGATCACGATGCTTTCATTACCCTACCAGTATCCAACCTTGTTTCTGTGTTTCTGTTTTAAGAAAACTTCTTAGGTTATACTGTTAACTCACTAACATTGTGCTTAGCTAGGTATAGTGGCACACATTTGTAATCGCACTCAGATGACTGAGGCAGGATGATCAGGAGTTTGAGGCAAGCCTGGACTACACAGCAAGACACTATCTCAAACAAACCAACAAACAAAACAAACAGAATACTGAACTCAAGCCCGGCATCACTATAACTTATGCCTGTCTTACAGAATACACATGTTCTCTGTAAGATTCATCAGCTTTCTTTCACATAGGAACGCTAGGCAGCATCAGCACCATGCTTCAGGGCCATTTTGAAAGCAAAAGCACAAATTTTAAAAAATATCATAAATAAACTGTATGGGACAAGAAGGTGGAGGCCCAACAGTCTGATTTCAGCTGGCTGCCTGCTCATGCCAACTCAAGGTTTGTGCCACTCGGTGATTGTCCACAAGTGGCACAGCTGCTGCACTTTGTGTCTGGAGAGTGCAGATGCTCTAGTGAACAGGCAAATTTATAAACACAGAATCCACAAATAATGAGAACTGATTGTATATTTATGAATTGTAAATCACTAATTATACCTAATCCAAGTAAGCGTTCTCTCCAAAGCTAATCTGATTATCATTTGGGTGAGCTTTTTTCTCTCACGTTCTGACTTTTTAAAACCTGTCATTTTTCCCATCTGTTGCTCGTTTTTCTCATGACATCCATTTTTTATCTTATAAGGTATGATGAAGAGAAATCTTATAAGAGAACTGTGAGGTAAAAATCTCCTAATCTCCAGTCATGCTGGACCCCCCTGTGTGTGCACTCCAGTGTTTTATTTGTGGGTGACCTCAACATGCTACCAGAGGAAGAGTGTCCTGTCAGTCCTTTGTAGTCCCTTCTGAGTCTTTGTTATGTGTGTAAAGCTGTTGAGGTCAACCTGATTTGCAACTGAAACCTACTAAACCAGATACACCCCTGACTTGGCCCTGCTGCAAGCCAACTTTACACCCAAAATACCAATGTGGATGTTTTCAGCTTTACTCAGCCAGCATGTTTCTGATCCCCTTGCAGTGTTTAGGTCACCTTTATGATAGGATTTGCAAAGAAAACAAACATGAACACCCAACAGGAGGAAATGGTACCATATTTAACTGAGCGTGTCTCGGTGCCTTAGAGGAGAGTTTTTTGAAAGCAAATAGACACCACGTATGTTTGGCTGTGCTTTGCCGGGTGACTCTCATGCCCTGCTTGCTTCTTTTTGCTTCTTTTCCACATCGCTAATTTGTGCTCATGCAGACTGGATGAAGAACTGAGAGAAGCATCTGAAACAGCTAAGTAAGACTTGCTTTTCATTTAGCAGCTGGCGTGATGTTGCCTTGCGTTTCAGGAATGACTGGGGAGAATCTGCACGCCTGATATTTTATTCTTGCATCCGGATAATAATGCTGTACCTTAAAATTTCTCTTTCTCCCATGGTAAATGTAATCTCTGATTTTTTTTTTTTTTTTTACAATCTCTGTTGCCAATCATCTTGTTATCTTGAGGAAAGCATTTGTCACTGTTTAATTTACTTTTTAATACCGAAGAAATTCTAGCTTTCACAGAAAAAGAACACACCAAAGGCATTGTCATAGGTAGTGTAGCATCCCAGTGGCCTTTAGATATATTGAGGCAGCAAAACCTCACTAATTCATATTGTGAGGAGAAATGGTAGCAACTAAAAACTGAAAAATCAAATCGTGGAATCAATTTCACGGCTTTCCAAGATTTGAAACAATGATTTAAAATTTTAATTACTAAGAAATATTGCTTAAATCATGTTTTCCAAGTTTTTTTGATAGTGGGAGGGTAGGAGGAATCATTGCTCAGTGTTGTTGAAGGGTGATATTGAAAAAAGCAAAACCATAACTGTTATGAAAACATAAAATGAGCACATAGCAATGATGTTATTCAGTGAATTATTTAGTGAGCAAGCCAAGAAAGTGCTACTATGAACTGGAAGAGCATTTGAGAAGCTTCATGTCTGCAGTGGCCTTCTCTTCTCCTTAAGGGATTTGCTCCAAGACACTCTATGGATGTCTGAAACCACAGACAGGACCAACCCATGATTACACTACCTATCTTCCTGTACAAATATACTTATGGTTAATTTATGAATTAGACAGAAGATTAATAATAGGTGAAAAAACATAATAATTATTTAGAACATGAATAGTTTGATGATTGTATGATAACTTCCCAGTCAAATCCATTCTAGCCAGGGTAGGGGCATTCATCTCCAATCTCAGTACTCTGGAGACAGAGGCAGGAGGATCTCTGTGAGTTTTGAGGCCAGCCAATATACATAGTGAGTTCCAAGCCAACCAGGGCAAAAGTTGAGATCCTGTCTCAATCAATCAATCAATCAATCAATCAATCAATAAAAATAAGTATAAATAAATAACAAATACAGTCTTAGTAGTCAGTGCCCTTGCTGCAGATTCTATGGGTAAGCTATTTACCTGAAGAATTCACCCTGAACTCATCCTATTCCTTTTGATGGTTAAATTGAAGGGTCTGCACATTTAATATATGTAAGGAGAAAACATTGAGTTCTGTCGAACCCACAGGGGTTTAGAATGTCTCAAAATCCTACCATTTTGGCACCCACTATACCTTCTTAAATACCTGTTATCCTCTGACACAGCCCCTAAATCCAAGGACAGATTCTGTAGGGTTATTGTTGGCTCAGAAAACATGATCTCTAAGTATCCAATTTTGGAAGCTAGGTATCCCCGGGTTCTTTCACTTGACAGATGCAATGACTGTCCACATGGCTTGTTAGAAAACTTTGGACTGGATCTGACTAAAGGTGGACATATACCTCATCAAAGAACAAAACCTCCCTGTCTATTGGCTTCTCCATTGCTACAACATTTTAAAAATTCTCCCTCTCCCCAGTGTACACACACCCCACTTCACCAATCGAGTTGCATGTCACCTCCCCTTGACCTCCACATGATCTGCTGTCTGCACACTTTTCTTTAATACCTTAGATTTACTCAGAGAAGAAAATACTTTCAAAGAATAAATACTATATACAGACCCGTTCTCATTTTGCAAATGAGGAAGAATTCATCTGCTGCCTTTGAATGACAATATTAAAAGGTTTGCAAATTGCTGTTTCCTCCACGTTAAAAAGCAGAAAGACCAAGCTTAAAAAACTGCCCTTTCTTGATTTGGTTCCAGCTTTGCTGTTTTCTTCTAGCTCACCGTCAGCATTTATTTCACTGTCCTTATTTGCTAGAATGGTCACCAGTAGGATTGTGGCAGAGGGCACTACCCAGCCCAAGGAAATAGCCTCCTGATCTTTTTAGAAAAATACTGAAGCCTCATCAAAAACCCTCTTGCAAATGGATAAATTCGCTTGTGAAATCATTCTCAATGCAAAAGGGATGTTTGAGGTTTTGTTTTTTTTTTTAAAGATCATGGAATTTCTTTAAATAGTTTTATCCCATTTAAAAAAAAAAAATTACCATGGGGCTGGAGAGACGACTCAGTGGTTAAGAGCACTGGCTGCTCTTGCGAAAGAACTAGGTTCAAATCCCAGCACCCACATGGCAACTAACAACCATCAGTAACTCCAGTTCGAGGGGATCCGATACCTTATTCTGACCTCCACAGGCACTGCACGACACAGGTGCACTTACACATATGCAGGAAATACATTCGTACACAAACAATAAAAATAATAAAGAAAATATTTTTTAAAAATTTACCAGAAGGGGCTAGAGAAATGGCTCAATGATTAAGAGCACTGGCTGCAAGATCCGGATTTGATTCCCAGCACCCACATGGTGACTAGCAACCATCCATAATTCCAATTCCAGGGGAATCTGATGCCCTCTTCTGACCTCCATGGGCACTGCACCTACCCACATGAAGGCAACATACTCATAGACATAAAATAATAAATAAAATATTTTTACGAACTTACCAAAGAAGAAAAGAACAACAGCAGAAGTGTAGCAGGTATTGGGAATTCCAAGTGAACTTGGAATCTGTTACCACAGTAACCACACTGATAAGGATCTCACAAATATCTAATTCTACACAGAGACATAAACACTTCTATATCATTCTTTTATATGGCTGTGTTTTTCTTCCTGGGCCTGCTCTGTTCAGGCTAATGTTAGGGTTCTCTGGTGCCACCTGAACATGACTCAGCTGTGTGGAGTGGTAAGTGTCCTGCTGCTTCTCTCACAACCTCAGGAAAAGCTGACCCTGGCAGCTTTGCTCTCAGTGTCTTGGGAAATCCTCACTCCTGTGAAACCTGAAAGCTGACCATGTTTTGTGTAAACAAAATCAGGCTGCCGAAAAGAGATTTTCCTTTGTGTATAACCTATCTATTATTTGGAGTACAAATACAGTTTTGCAATGTTTATACTCATTGGATAAAAACATTTGAAGAGTAAGAAAAAAAGACTAGGACACTGGGGTGCTTGGGGTTGTTTATCTTTTTGACATCTCTAAATCATGAGTAAGGACATATCTCAAACCTGATGCTAAAATCTTACTGGTACCATCTATTACAGTGTGGATTTGGGACCATAGGAATAGCAATGGTATCACATTAAACAGTCTCAAATGCCCCAGTCAATGATTCTGACACTACAGTAAGAGGGAGAAAATATTGACTTGCTTCCCCCTTTTTTCTTTACACTCAGAACTAGCTGCCTTTACAATGATCCAGAAATGACCTCTATGGAGAAGGAGTAAGAATTCATCATTGACAGCCTGTGGTTGCCTGTAGTGTTGTATGGCTGCATTCAGAATGAAACTAGGATTGGGTAAACCTGCTTAGATGTTTGGCTTCCATGGGCTCTGATCCTGAAATGACTAATTTACTGAGAGATTTTTCCAGCCAGATACCGTTATGTCTAATAAGGACAACCAAACGCTTTACGTGGTGTCCACTTTTCCACTCCCAAAATGAGACAATGAATTTGGTGGCCAGATGTGAGAAGATGGGGACAAGAAGAGAGCAGCTGTTTTGGAATGACGTCATCCGTTGTGATCAGTGAAAGCTAGAACTTCCATTTGAACTTAGTATTGGGTGGACAGGGGAGAAATATCTTTGCTTTATAGATACCAAGAGACAGTTAAGTCTGCCTGGGACTTCGGCAACGATACGGTTGGATATTCTTGTCCTAGAGGAAATAGAAATTGGGGCCTGGTGTGGTGGGGCACGCCTTTAATCCCAGCACTCTAGAGGCAGAGGCAGGCGGATCTCGGTGAGTTCAAGGCCAGCCTGGTCTACATAGTGAGTTCCAGGCAGCTGAGGGCTACAGGGAGATCCTGTCTCAAAAAGACCAAAAAGAAAGAAAGAAAGAAAGAAAGAAAGAAAGAAAGAAAGAAAGAAAGAAAAAGAGAAATAGATATTGGACTGGACAGGTATTAAGCTCTCAGTCCATGCCAGACTATGTCAGAAGCTCACACACAAAGCTGATTTTAATCCTCAGAGCAAGCTTATGAGGTACATTTCACAGATGAGAAAAGGGAGCCATAGACAAAGCATTTAACCAGCCAGTGTTTTGCAGCCATAAAAAAAAAGCCTGTGATGGGAGAGAAGGCTAAGGGGTTGAGAGTGCTTGCTGCTTTTGCAATGAACCAGAGTTCAGTTCCCAGCACTCACAACAGGTGGCTCACAACTACTTGTAACTCCAGTTCCAGGTGATCTGACACCTTCTTCT